ATTAAGTCGATGTAGACTGAAGCTTGGAAATGGGATCTCTGCACGTGTAATTTTGATTCCCAAACTGTTTTAAAATTATCTGATTCTAAGAGTAAGAAACAGAAACCGAAATGAATCTTACCTAGGCTGTGGCTGTGCCGTGGCTGTGACAAAGTTGTCAGAACAAACGGTCGGTCGGTCCTTGACCCGGCGGGACTCCAGTGGAATCCATATTCGTTCTCCTGACTAATTGCTGTTAGCCATCTGTGTCTCCTCGGGCTACGACAGCTCAAAGAATGAGCGTTTTTTGTCACTTGAAAGACTGTGATTGCGGCATGCAAACACCACATAATTTCTTGGCACTATGCGCTGCGTGCATTGAGCGGTACGTTACTACGGTTTGTTTTCATCGGCTCCAATTACATCCGGTGAAATAGTCAAATGTTCCCGGATGTCCGCCCCCACCTATACGATTACGGGTCATTCTTTGACGGGCAATGTTCTCCCAACGTCCAACACCTAGCCGGGGCGTTGGCGAGGGAGAAACTTGCCCTTGTCGATAATCCTATATCAGTCGCCTTTATCTTTGCGCGCTGGCATTCTTTTGACAGGCTTCGAGCTGGTCGTTTAGCGGACAATGAGGGGCGAGGGAGGGTCGGTGGTTGTAAGACGAAGTTAAACGCGTGATCGTGATAGCGCGCGCACGCTCGCTGCTGAGACACGTGAAGGCACTCGCCCCACACCCGCGAAGATAACGTAAAGGAGTCCTCTCGCTTTTCTGACTAATGCAAGTTCCGTGTCCGCTTCAAGTAGAAGAGGGGCGGATGAAGGGGAGGAGGTTGTTTCCTTGAACACGAAAACCGGCGCCTCCGAAGCCGTTATGGAGTGGTTGTTCGCTCGGTCGAGTTTTTCTCATGTTTGTTTGCGTGCTTTTTTTTCTCGGTGCTGGATTCGGTTTCGCTAGGTTCGTATTACGTACCTCATATCGTGCGTAATACAGTCGCGTGCGTTTTATTACGCGGTGTGTAAGGTGAGATAATTGCAGGTAGCTTCGTGCGTGGGTTTAGAAATGAGTAATTTTCGTAAAGCCTTTTAACCTTTCAACGTTTTACGATATGTAAATAGATAGTGGAAATCGAGGGCCATAATGTGCTACGTTTGAACTATCACGCAATCAACTCGCGCGTGTGCCGTCTGTGGAAAAATGGATCGCAAAAGAGCCTGGCACAGCTAGAAAGTGTTTTGCATAACTCGGCCCGTAGAGAAAGCTATATGAATTAGTAACGACTGATGTCTTCTATGTTGCTTAATACGTAAGCTCGAAAGTAGTTCCTGCGGTCACACACACACACACACACACACACACACACACACATATACACACACACACACACACACACACACATACACATACACACACATATACACACACACACGCACACACATACATACATACACACATACACACACACATGCACACACGCCTGTACAAATACGTCAACGATTTCGTTCTTCTAAAGCTAGTTTGAATCACGAATATATTTCGCATTCAATCCCTTAATATTAAAACCCCCTACAAAAACTACCACATATATACCGATATAGTTATAAGCTGTCTCTATCCTGCTGAGACTAATACATTTTCAACGCTTCAAGCGCAGAAAAAAACGTGCGAAAACGTGAGATATCGCATCGCAGCTTCAAGCGTGAGAGAAGGCTCGCGCCACCTACCGGTTATACATGTCATCATCCTCGGCGCCCCAGCCCCAGAACTGGTTCGAGAAACCATTGACAGCTAGGAAATCCTTCCGCGAGATGGCGCCAGCGCCACCGAACAACGCATTGTACGGTAACCTACGGAAAGAGAGTGTGAGAGAGTGGAGACTCGGTATTAATATTAATATTAATAAATAAAATAATTATATTATATTAAAATTTATTATAATAATAATAATTATTATTATTATCATTATTTTGGTATTTAGCTTATCTGACGTAATCTTTTAAATTACTGGGAACTAGATGGATGGTGTTGCGTTATGTTGAAATAGAGATGGATAGATGGAGACTGGATAGATAAATGTTATGTAATGAATATAATGGGTGGAGGGTTAGTTCTAAATATATTAGCTTCCAGGGTGTGCAGATTTTATGCCCGGGTCCGACCTGTGTAAATTTGTGAATGTATTACTATTACCTAAAACACAATCAGAATAATATACAACATCAATAATACTCAATTCAACTTGGATTCAATCATATCAATACTTTTCTAGTTGTCTAATGCCCCTGTGACGGGCAACAGCATGGCAAAAATGTCATCGAGGCCCTTTAGGTCAAGTCGACCCTCTCTCCCCTGCTCGGAGTTGCACTTGGGGCAGGCACTGTTCCCAGCCCACCAACTGTCCAAGCATGCCTTGCAGCCCAGCAGTGACTGGCAGCAGGCAGAAACCACTGGTTTCTGAACTGGCCCTGTAAACAAAGAACAATTAACATACCGGTAATTAGTTGTTATAATGATTCAAGCACAGCACGTATGAACCAATTTGCGACCAAGGTACCAATTTGGTCATTTAAGTGCACCTTGGCACAGATTGAATCTGACTAAAATTATTTCCCAGATGTATAAAAATATAGTACATTTGAAAAACCAAATCCACACAATTTATAGCATGTCATCAGGAGTCTATCATTAATCTATTGAGATCTATTGAGATCTAGAGAGATCTATTGAGAGTCTATCTTATTGATAGACTCCTGATGTCATGTTGTATGGGTGGCATGTAAATGTATTTGAGGAGTTGACAATACAGCTCATGTAGCTAAACCTTAACATTGTGTTAAAGTGATAACTTCATACCTAAATAACAAAAATTAGAAAAAATTAGAATATATTTTGCTTTGTCACTACCGGTATTACAATTATGAGCCTGTAGACATATTATAACTGGTGTAGGGGTTTCTATTTTCGAGAAGAAAAGGGAGTACATCGTTTATTTTTTTAGCTTTGTGTGCACTAAGTTAAAATTTCACAGATATATCGCTATCAGGGCGTCAAGTGACAAGTGACGCTCAGAAAATAGGAAAATTGGAATTTCAGATGTGAAAAAATAGAAGGAATTTTGGTGATAAAATATATGTTAAATAGAAATATTTGTTGCGTTCGATGACCTTCCAACACCCCTACAGCCATCTTGATCCACCACAAATGGTTTTATTGTATCCCCCGAACAAATTTTATTTCTCTTCCGCTCTCTAACTCAGCCCCTAATTGACCTAGCGCGACCAAACTTGGTATGCTTACACATCTTGGGGAGAAGGTCTGTCGCATACCAAAACCACCACTGCTCTTGACCTTAGTTTGACCTTTTTCAGAAAATCTGCGAACCAATTCGATCGGTGACGTCAGCTGAAAAATGCGATGTTCCGTGCTGACAGAATCGCGCTCGACGCATCTCTGTCGCGATGGCACACGCAATCGCATCACGGGCTGCTTTCAAGGTCGCTCGGCGAATAAATGTAAAATGTCTCAATTTTTTGGCCCACATTCGCCGGGCACGTGACGGGACGGCGCGGGGCCCGAAAAGCAATCGACTCGGGCGGGCGTGTGTTTGTTTTGTGTAAATCGATGTTGCTTTTTACGGCTACAAGCTTCTGCAAAATCTCGCATTTTTGCGTGTTACTGCCAAGCGGAGTGACGGCGACTCATGATGACGTGGCGGTTAGATCATTTTTTACGGCGTGAAAATTTCCGCCGTGGCGCACGCTATTGACGCTGACTAAAGGTCGCAGTGGCTTCTAAAAAAGGGCAGTCCTGAGCGAGAGAAAGCGAGAGGGAAGAGGAGGGAGACTGTACCTAGAAGATACGTGCGTATGTACGTGTATGTACGTGCCACTGTATGTGTGCGCCCTCGATGCCCGGGTGCGAATGTATGTGCGTGCGTCTCTCCCGGGGCTTGGGTTCAGTTTTGGATTTCCTCCAGAAAAAAATAGCAGCCTGTCGGAAGTCCTACGACGGTTTTTAGGTCTCCGAATAAGCGTCTAGAGAACGAACGTTCGACCGAAGTTTTTGGGCCGAGCCAAGCGCACTGTGGTCGTGTTGTGACGAGCGCTGGGGTCGCTGTCGCTCTGCCAACAAAGCAAGGTCCCGCCCTCACGAGAGAGAGGCGTTGTCTGCGGTCTCTCGTCGCTCGCGCGGTTGCGTGAAGTGAGGCAGCGAGACAGCGCATGACGTACCTCGCCCGGATCTCGAGTGCGTGTCGAATGTGGAAACCGTAGCTGTTAACGAGCGTGTAAAGCAGGGTTTACACTATATCGACTTTATGCAATTTTTTCTTCTTTCTACCAACCTCTCTATATATAATATTATCGTATGTTCAAAGCTCTTACGTTATCGACTGCGAGGCGGCTAACTTTTCAACATTTGCACGCGCAACGGTTACTCGCTGATTATTTGGTTGTTAGCAAGCTGCTGAAGAAGCATGGTCTTACAGTAGCGTTAATCATGCACCACACGCACGAACCACACGCACGGCCACACGCGCACACGCACGTACGCGTGCACACACACGAACACACGTACATACACAGACTCGCATACACACCGCACGCACGCACGCGCGAACACATACGAACACGCGTGCACGCACGCACGCACCGCACGCACGCGCTTATCTGACTACGTGTACGCGTAAAGAATCGTCACGCTCTCAGAGGACGCAGGTCATTATCAATTCATGACACGGAGAACTATTTCCACATATATCCGAATCTCTGAATACGCAATCTGATGAGAGCTCCACTCAGGAGCAATTTCGCGACCATTTTCGCTCTCCGCGTACGCACGCACACACGTACCCGGGAGCATCGCCCTGCCACCGTGACCTCCATTGACCTCTGCCAGCGGTACTGTCATCGTTCTCTCTGCGCGTCCATTAGCGTTGATGGCTGGCCGACGCGCTTTGCCGCGAGCCCGGGCGACAGACAGACACTGACGACGATGTGTGTTGTTGATTTCTCAGGTCCGCCGGAGCAGAGTGAGAACAGCAACCCTGACAGCGTGATCCGCACGCCTCCGCCCGTAGATCAGCAGCCGGTGAAGCCACGAGGCAAGGGACGACCGCCAAAGAATGCTGATAGCAGACCGCAGGTACGAGGCGGACCCTCCCCCTCTCCTCCCTCCTCCGCGCCGCCACTGCAGGTACGAGGCGAACCCTCTCCCTCCTCCTCTCCTCTGCCCCGGCTGCTGCTGCTGCTGCTGCTGCGGCTGCCGCACCTTTCTCTCCACAGGCACTTGAAGCGTTTCAATAAAATATAATGCTAACTAAATATGAAATCTATTTACTATCAAATTCTTAATGGTTCTATACTCTCTTTCACCGTCCAAATCCTACGTCCAACCATACGCTTCCGGCGCCATTGCTTTCGCGGTGCGACTGTTGCACGCTTACACTAATATATATAGTAGTATTACACTATATTTAGTTAGCATTATACATTTTATTGAAACGCTTCAAGTGCCTGTGTTTCTCTCGCTCTCTCTCCCTCATTCTCTCTCTCTCTCTCTCTCTCTCTCTCTCTCTCTCGCTCTCTCTCTCTCTCTCTCTCGCTCTCTCTCTCCGCCTCTCCTCTCTCTCTCTCTCTCTCTACTCTCTCTCTCTCTCTCTCTCTTCTCTTGCTCGCTCGCTCGCTCGCTCTCTCTTTCTCTCTCGCTCTCCCTCCCTCTCTCCCTCTCGCTCACTCTCTGCTTCTCCGTGTCTCTCTGTCTGTTCTGACTCTCTCACTCCATCTCTGCCTGTCTTTCTCCGCCGTCCCTCCCTGCTTTCATCCCTCTCTACCAGCATGCGAACTAATTACACGTACCCTGACGTCGTGAGACAGTGGCAGACAGGAGGAGGGGGGCTGCTGCTGTGTATTTCTGTTTGCATTCGCGAAGGTGACCTTCCGATGCCGCTCACTGTCGGTGACCTTCCGATAATTGTTATTGACGCAGTTTAAGTTCGCATTGTTTGCAATTTTACAGAGAGGTATACGTGTGTGTATATAATATGTATATGTATTACTATTATGTATATATATATATATATATAATATATATATGTGTTCACCGCATTCCATTGCAGCGATTATGACAATTTGATTTACTGATGGCGAGATCCGGACCTGTAACTATTGTACTCGGCGTTATTACATAATACGAGATGACGTAGCGCTAAAAGAATAGTGAGCTTTGAGAATGCTGTTGGGGGGGATTCAAGGGGGCAGTGCGCGTGTGGCTCGGTGCCATTAGAGAGCAGAGCAATGCCCGACAGTGCGCGGTGGTCGTGATCGTGGCGGTGGTCGGTATGTTTCAGACGTGCGCGTGGTGCATTGTGAATAGGCGTGCTCGTCTGGGTGCTTATCTGAACTTCGGGCGTTGTTGAAACGAAAACACGACACCGTGTGCGCCAGTTTAAACCGGTGGAGTATTTCCAAGCATAATAAACTCCGGTCCCGAAATGTTACTGGCCTTTGCATCTGAGTCGAAATTCGAATGCAAAAAATTTCTGGGGGAATATATATCGCGTTGGTGATATTTTGCCCTCTTTGCTGAGCACAGTCTTCTGATATTTGAGAGACTGTGTGCAGTACGATGTTTAAGCTATAGAATATTATAAGCCATGCACGTGAACACACATACATTATCTAGTATAATTGCACCACCATGTATTTATTATGCTAAAAGTGCAAGGTTACAAGGGCGCGTACATCCAACTAGGCCTAACTAGAACAAGATGGTTTTCCTCCCATTTTGTTACTAGCTATCTTAATCTGCGCATGCCATCAAATTGATTCAATGCATCACAAGAATGTCCAGTTAATTTACAATCAGATGCGGTTAAAATATAGCTGTAGATGTCAAGGTCATTATTAATAGGCAGGGAAATGATGAAGGGGGGAGGGGGCAAAATGGCAAGGCCAGTGTCATGTTGTGCCCGTACTCCAATCGTTCGGCAGATTCGCTGCACGTGAGAATTGGCTGCCGTGAGAATCGTGTGTACGACGGTGGGCAATGATCTGCGACGTAGTTGGAATTTTAGGCGTGGTTAATGTTTGCGTGTGTTGAAATGGAGCCAAGCGAGATGAGATTTCAATCTGAGGAATTTTTTTTGTCACAAACAGAGCGCATTGTCATGGCAACGCCGGTATTAATTCCGCATATGATTAGCATAGTTTCAGGTGAATTCTCTGCGGATGAACTACTACTGCGCCGTACAAAAAGGCAATGCGGGTGTGTCTTGTGGTGTGTGTGTGTGTGTGTGTGTGTGTGTGTGTGTGTGTGTATTTCCTCTTCGGCCTCCTAGCGTAACCAGATTCCATATACTTGCACATCTGAGGCACACCAGTTGTCTAACAAACCTTTGTCTTTGTGACTTATTTAACTTTATCTGCCTTCTACGTCCTTACAGAGATATTCCATTCATACTAGATCACGGGGGATACATGTAGTTGGCGACAACTGTTCGTTTCAAGTTAATATACATATTTGGAGTTACATCACATGCAAACAATACTTTGAGGTTTTAATGAGAAATGCATGTTAAAATTGATAAGCAGTTTATACATGCATAAGCGCCTATACATGTAGACTACTCCAAAATAGGCAGATTCGGCTTTTTGAAAAAAGGGGAGGGGGGTCCAGTCAAAAATGAAGAGCACTTTTATAAAAAGATGCCGAAGGCAGCTTATGTGACGTGTCTAAGGCACGTTGCCACTTAGGGGGAGAAGGGGTTAGGGGGACCTCACCCCAGAAATTAAAAAAAAAGAATTTTTCCAGAAAATAGGAGAAAATAGGAATTTTCCAGAAAATAGGAAAAAATAGAAACTTGACGCCCTGCGCTATATTATTGGTGACTTGAAAGAAAGGGGACAAGACTTTGCTATTGTGCTTATAATACCATTTCGAATGAAATATAATTTTCTTGGGATTCTTAAACTTATAACATTTATTTTATTAGGTGTGAAGTTATGGCTTAAATATAAAACTCAATGCACCTAGAAATATTCTTAAGCAAAATTGAATACCTTTGCACACCACACAGGATAATGCTGCAGTTAACCTCGTCAGGTCCTTTAAGGGTAGAGGGAGGGTGACGCCGACCTGAGCCCCCTCAGCGACCCGTGTGGCCTGGACGAGGGATCGCACACGCTCCTCCAGCTCGTCCAGGTCCTCTGAGCGCCCGGCCCCTCCCCCTCCTTGTGTCCTCCTAGAATGAAACAAGATTCAAATGTGATAGATATATTACCTGGTGTCTGTATGAAACCATGTCAACACAACAATTCGTGTATAAACATGTCTTAAATTTGCCTTTAACAACTGAAATACACAAACCTTCTTTTGCCAGCACGATTTCTTTGCCATTCAAAGAATTCCGATTCCATGCAGGCCTTAACAATCCTTGTTGAGGCCTGCCAGAATTCTTTTGCTGTTGATGAACATGAGAAAATTATAGATGATTATTCTATTTGGGTATGTACACAAAAGATATAGGTATGAGACGATCAGAAGTATATGTGTTAATACTCATTCATTCAAAGTGTTATAACAGCAAACTATGTGTACATGTACTTGGATGAAGCAAGATATAAAATAATGTTAAAATATTTCTCCAGACCAACATGACCATTCAAATAGTCACTAGGAATTTTTTTAATGTTAGAGGTGTGAAAGTATTTTTTTTCACAATGTTTCTTTCTTAGCAAATACATATAGTAAAATTGAGAGATTTCAGTCCACAAGAGGTGAGTCATTGAAGGGGAAACCAACACTTATGAATCCTTAATCGAATGCAATACACATTAGGCGGATTTATCCGAACAGTATCCTTAAGGAGGGTTTATGTCGGGCTTGCCGACTCGACTGGAAGCAACTGGCTGCAACTGGCCGCCACTGGTTGCTCGGAATAGAACAGTGGGCAACTGGACGCAACTAGTCGCTGCAGATCGCTTCCAGTGGCACGAAATGCAGTTGCCTCTAGTCGAGTCGGCTCGCAAGCCCGACAGAAGCCCGCCTTTACGAGATATTTTAATGTTCGGAAAGTAGCAGAGTATCTAGTTTCTGTCCAGGGATTACCTTGTGTGGCTTGGCAGTCCTGAATCTCCTGGTTCCTGGAGTCAAGGATAAGGAATGCCTCCTCCTCACAATTGAGCGACTCGGAAACCTTCTCGGCAACACAGTTTACTGAGAAATCGCCCTCCTTCAGGACCACAAATGTCGTCCGGCATGGCTGAAGCCGCCCATCGACCAATTCGACGACTTGAATTTTCCTTTATTAACAAAGTATACCTACAGTTATATATTAATGCCTGCTGTTGGGGGCACTATGCTCTCATAGTGTTGCTGAGGGAAGGAATAGTACCTTCTTTATACGCCCTAATTTGCCGGTGCATTCGATGTAACAAAACGTTCGACACAAACACAACCACGCAGACGCAGGAGATTCGTGACGTAAACACAATGCGTTATAAGAACAATGCGTCGCGCAAGCGATAGTGCCCGCCCAGGTGGGCACTATCGCTTTATAGTGCCTGCTGCGTTATCCAATGAGATTGCAGCGATTTATCACGTCATGCACTAATTGTCAGTTACTGAATATAGAGAATATAGAGAAAATACGTCATGATCAATATGTCACATCTTGATAAACTAAATAATGATGGCGAGACCAGTAAAGGTATATAATTAGGGGTGACTATTGGGTGCAATTCTGCTATTGCGATAGTATTGCAATAGCTAAAATACTATTGACGATACTATTGCAGTAATTGCAATACTATTGGTTTACCAGGAAATTGTAGAATTTAGCAACCATTGGAACAGAGTATTGCGTATAACCTGTGTTCCTCATGTCAAGTTACCTCTTGTGCACTAGCTAGCTGGTGAGCGAGTTTTCTAATGTAAACTGGGTATATGTGCGTGTAGTAAGCACTATGCTGGTTCCAGTTGTATATATTTCAATGTATGCAGAGATTGTTGAATAACTAGTCCATTGATTCTAATTTAAGACTATTAATAACAATCGATAGTTCAGTTTACTATTGGCAATAACTATTGATATTCTATTTTACTATCGATGCATTGCTATTGAGCCAAATACTATTGCGATGAAT